AGGTACACTTTCACCATCGATAGTATCTTATAACGCTCCAATTTCCCTTCTAGATTTTGTTTTACTGTGAAGATCCAATTGCACCCAACTGTTATTTTCCCGGCTAGTAATGATACTATCTTTAAGGGTATAAACGAGTCGAACACGAGCGAGCTAGTCCTAAGTTTGTATTCGGCTCGTTAAAAAATCTTTGTTCATGTTCAATTCATTTATATTTGGAACACAAAAAGTTTGTTTGTGTTAGACTCATTTGCTTAGAGAGCCGAACACAAGTTGTTCGCGAACAAAGTGTCATTTTGATAATTCTCGTCACATATGTAGTAGAGCGAGCCAGTCCTAAGCTCGTATTCGACTCGTTAAAAAATCTCTGTTCATGTTCAATTCATTTATATTTCGAACACAAAAAGTTTGTTTGTGTTAGACTCGTTTGCTTAGAGAGCCGAACACAAGTTGTTCGCGAACAAAGTGTCATTTTGATAATTCTCGTCACATATGTAGTAGTTAGAGGTGTTAACGACCCGAGCATGAGCCCTGGCTCGACTTGTTAAACAATATCATTGTTTGTGTTCAACTCGTTTATATATCGAGCTCAAGAAAATTTTTCGTGACTCGTTTGTTTATCGAGCCAAATACAAGCTATTCATGAACAATGGGTCATTTTGACAACCCTAGTCACACAGTCGTGGGATATTAAGAGTAGAGCGAGATTTATATCTTATTATTTATATTAAAATATTCATTTAAATAGAATTTAACATTTATTTATTTTATTTTTAATTAGTAATTTCAACTGATTATAAATCTTTCTAGCATTGTAGTCAAACTATTTAAAAATAATACTCATTAATTATATATATGTATGATTATTTTGAGCCAAAATGAGTCGAACACGAACAAGCCAAAATGAGTCGAACACGAACAAGCAAAACTTTGTTCGTGTTCGACTCATTTATATATCGAGCGCAAAAAAATTATTCATTTCAGCATGTTTGCTTAGGGAATGAATCGAACACAAGCTACTTAACGAGTTGAACACAAGCTATTCACGAACAACTAGCCGTTTTGACAACCCTATCTCCCACGTACGTCATGTTCTTATCAAGAGCACCAAGTTCCTCCATTGGCAGTCATTCACTTTAAATCCTCCTTAGCTAACTGCCAACATTTGGGTATAAAGACGATGTTTAAAGATGCAATGAATGTTCCGTGTACAGAAGATACTTTAGAATATGAAATAAATTAAGCAATGACATGTGAGAAACCAAAACAATTAGAAGAATGATCGGCATTGCTACGAGAGGTCCTCCTTAAATCAATGGGAGTGGGAGGAGAAAGGAGAGGAATCATATCACCTTGGTAATCAGATTCTGAAGTGGAAGGTATAGGTGTCCTAGAAGTCAGAGTAGACCAAAATAAGGGACTTGATAGCACGTCAGACACTGTTTCTAGATTTAATAGCACGAGTGGCACGGCAGCATTGCTCCCTCATTTCGTATTTTCCTCCTCAGCTCCTTTTTGGCTTGAATCCCCCCACAAAATAAGGGACTTGATAGCACGTCAGACACTGTTTCTAGATTTAATAGCACGAGTGGCACGGCAGCATTGCTCCCTCATTTCGTATTTTCCTCCTCAGCTCCTTTTGAGCTTGAATCCCTCCACCTTTAGGCTCATTTTCCTCATTTTCGGCTCTTCCTCAACTGGTCCTTCCACACAATAGGACAATACATCGTTCTCACATGCACCAATCTATGACCATCACTACATTCCCCTTACGCCTCATACCTCCAATATCTGATGAGTCACCAAAGGGTGAGATCACCTCCAAATAGTACTATAATTCGAACTCTCTAAAGGACATACCATACTCATAAACAGTCTCTTTTCTATCGGACTCCAACACACATACCTCTTTTGGGTAGCAGAATAACCACAAAAACACATTTTGCAGCTCTAGGATCCAATTCCTAGTGATGGTTTGTTGGCCTTCACAAAACATATTCAGCTAGAAACCTTTAATGGGAGGTTTCTGTTATTACATCCTTTCAAAATCTGATAATGAGACTTTCAATCCAACACTCTCAAGGGTATTTTGTCGAACAATTGAGTCGCTGCCAAAACTATTTGCCCCCATAAGTGTTTTGGGATATTCATCGTGATCGTCAAGCTTTGAGCTACCTCTAGAAGAAGTTATTCTTCTTCTTAGCTATTCTATTTTGTGTCGGTGTGCATGAACAGGTGGTTTGATGTTGCATTCTTTGAGCTAACAAGTATTCCCCAAATAACTTATTGGTACACTCTCTTATTATCAGACCCCAATATCAGCACTACTGCATTTTACTGTTTCTTAATCGCCTTTTGAAAATCCTTAAAGCAAACAAGCATATCACTTTTGTTTCTCATCAAATATAACCAATTAACACAAGAAAAACAATCATTAAAAGACAATATCTGTAACCATACATAGAAGTTATAAAACAAGGTCCCCATATATCTGAGTGCACCAAATCAAAAACACGAAAATGAATTTTACTAGAACTAACAAAAGAACTCCTAGTATACTTAACAAACTCAGAAGCATCACAAACAAGTTCCTGTTTATTTATCTTTTCATACAAGGATGGAGACAAATGACTAAATAGACTAAATGAAAAGTGTCTCATGCGCCTGTGATGTAGAAGCAAAACCTCGTCCACACTCCTCTCAGATCCTCCTGTTCCAGCATTCTCAACCATGGCATGTAGAAAATCGCCTTTGGAATATCAGATGAAATAATACATTTTAATTGGAGTATAATGGCGCTAATGGATAAAAGTTCACTGAAAAGGAATGGGCATGCAAAATATTAGACAAAATAATAGAATTGGTACGTCTCACTATACTCTTACCAACCACAGCTGTGTTGTACCATCAGCAGTTTGAATACTCTCTGAAACTACTAGATAAATATAAGATATTCACTAGTGGCACCTGTCAACACATTTTAATTGGAGTACAATGGCGCTAATAGATAAAAGGTTCACTGAAAAGGAATGAACTTTCAAAATACTAGACAAAGTCATAGAATTGGTACACCTCACTATACTCTTACCAACCACAGGCTGTGTTGTGCCATCAGCGGTCTGAATACTCTTTGAAACTGCTAGGTGAATATAAGAGAACTCACTAGAGGCCCCTGTCACATGTCGAGATGCACCAAAATTACTATCCAATTTGGTGATATTGTGGTGCATATAGAAGCAAAAGCATGTGTATCACAAATAATTTGGGCTGAGTAAGCATAACTGACAGTGTTCCCTTTGGATGACAATAAGATGGATGCATCCTCAGTCACATTACCTCCCGCTCTCTGTTTCATCTTAAACAACTCCAGTAACTCATGATCATCATTAGTAAAGACTACACATATTTTTCCCTTGTTCTTTGTTACCAACAGATTTGTCTGGTAGCCTCCTTTTTCGCATCTGTCAGATCTAAAACAAGGAGAATTTTCCTCCACCTGTTGCACTTTATGAGTAGCCACCACCACTATAACAGTAGCCTGAATTATCCGAACCCACCTTTGGCTTGGCGTTGTTGAATGATATTTGTCAAATATTCAACTCTTTATTGTGCATCTCCTAGCATCCTTCATTGTGTGTCTGTCGGCAAAATTCATAAATACAAATCCACGAGGCCTCCTTGTATCTCCTTCAACCATAATCTGCCAGTCCATGACCTTCTTGAATTGGCTAAACGCGACACTGAGCTCCCGTTTTGTGGTTTCCCTTGACAAACCTCCAACAAAGATATGCACCCCTCCTTGTCAGACATCGCTGAGAAACGAAATACAACGTTTGAGACAGAAGACTTCTAGAGGAGAAGTCGTTCGGTGAGCCTGGAAGTGAAACCCTGCTCTCAGCTCACCTTCACGTTCTCTTATATTCAGCAAATCAATATCTATCTTCCTCGATCTCTCTACCAGAACCGAGTAATCCCCAATGCCTAGAGAAATTAAAGATTGTCTGATCACAACCTTCAATCCAGATAAAAAAACAGTGACACTTCTCTTCGGCGTTGGGGATTAATTGAGATGCATGACGAGATAGTATTGAAAACTCAAAAACTCAACCTCCTACTATATGATGGAGCGGTCGTCCCGCCCCAGCCTTATAAATCGATTTTGCATCTGTCTCTTGGCCAAGAGATGAATAAAACAAATACAAATCTTCTCACAAAATCCTCTCACTGAACCTGGCTATTGGGTCGTCCTCCAAACTTCTCCCTAAACTGCCCATGCCACCACTTCTCTACTTCCCCTTGAAAGTGTTCGTTGTGACTGATCTACTGAGGGAAGGACAATCATCAATGAATTTCTCTATCCGCAACAACCAGTTCATTGTCTCAACTGGCCCTCCTGCTCCTGAAAATAGTGGTGGTAGCATATCTTGGAACAACTTTAGATATTTATCCACCACTGATGTTCCACTGGCACTGGCCTGGGTCTGAGAGCCTATAATCAGTCGTGTCACTACGATCATCATCTAAGTAAATGCTTCCATAGGGACGGTAGAACTGCTAAATGGAGGATCAGTAAATGTTGGGGCACCATATTCTATTGATGAGCAACTCTTGCCTCTTTATTATTCCCATCAGTATTCACGAGATCGATATCAACTGTCTTGAATACCAAAATTTTTCCTCTTAACATAAACAATATAATTATATTTAATTTTCTAAATGATCAATAATAATTTTCCTAATGACTTTCAAATTCACTATCCTACAGGCCTTGGCTGGGCTCTGATACACTCTTATCAAGATTCGGCCTGGTAGTTTGGAATTACCAAGGCGAGAGCTGTCAATAGAACGGAGAAAAACTATCCAATCGTTTTATTTCATAATTATAATTAAATCCATAATAAAAGTTATATTATTCTATCTATAAAATTTAAATTTACAACCAGTCACAAAGATTTTTGAATATTTATAAGTAACAAAAAATAAAAACTAACATGCATTACTTATCATTTTGCGCTTCCAACATCTTTAAGCATACTCTTTGAACTCCATCTATTATAAAGCCGATTTTCCTGCAAAATGTTACCAATTAATGGTTTCAGTTAAAATTCCTTATTAGGCAAATATTTCTAAATTATAATAATTCATAGTCTAAAATATTTTGTAAAATTGTGGCAAACAGTAAAAAATTGTGCGCACTAAATAAAAAGTAATTATAATTTTTTTTTTTTACATTCATTTATTACACTATAAAAAAATTGTGCACGGTAAAAAAATTAGTAAAGATAACATTAATCTATTAACAAGTGAATATGTCTAAATTAAAATTCAAAATGAAAAAAAGGATATAACTAATATAATTTAAATTGTTTATATAGATGCACCGAATAGAATAGATTCACCGAGAAAATGATAACTGACTGCACTATACATACGAGTAAATATGTTTTTTTATTTTACAACTATTTTGTTTATGCTGGAAGACAATTACACATGCTTCTCCTTTTAACATTTATTTTAAAAATGCTAAAGTTCATGTTCTTGTTTTAAAAGTAAAATGCAAAATAAGAAAATAAATATGACATATGCATGCATATAAGAGTCACCCCTTGATGAATCTAACAGGGGAATGCAATGTACCCATGTACGAAAAAGAAAATGCAAATGAAAATTGTTTACAATTATAGTGGGTTGGAAAAAATTAAAAGTATATTTTCTAAATATACGTCTAGACGGTAATTCTCAATAATGAAAATTGTAATGAAAATAAATGAAATAAATAGAAAACAACTTTATTAGTATTATTTTACTACACACTATCTTTTATTATTTACTTCAATTTTTATAAAATATTTTAAAATAAAAATTATTGTAATTTAGAAATATTTGTCCATTGAATAATTTTAACTCAAATCGTTATTTGCCAAAATTTTACGGAAAAACAGGCTTTCTGCTAAAAGAACCACAAAGAGTACGTGCACAAAAGTGAGACGCCAAGGCTTAGTTTTTATTTCCTGTCAGTTATAAATATTTAAAAATATGCACGAACATTATGTAAGTTGTAACTTTAAAGTTTATAAATACAATGACTATTTTGTGTTAGATCTCATTTTAATTACAAAATAGAACTGTTTGATAGTTTTTCTCCGTCCGACCAATAGTTCCCGCCTTAGTAATTTCAAGCTCTCCGGCGAGGTCCTGACAAATGGCATCAAAGTTCAGTGAAGGGCAGTAGAAGAGTGATCATAAAAGAGCCATTAGAAAAATCATTAATAATCATTTAAAAAATTGAAAAATAACTTCAATGTTTATGTCAATAATGAAAAATTTTGATATCTCATGGCAATTGATATCGATCCAGAGGATACTGATGGGTATAATGTCAGACAAGAGTTGTTGATAGGTAGAATTTAACGCCTCCATTTATTGATTCTCCATCTAGTGGTATTAGCATTCCTAAGGAGGCATTTACTCAGACGATGGTCGCAAATACACGACTTATCCAGGATTTAGATTAACGCCTCCATTTATTGATTCTCCATCTAGAGGTATTAGCATTCCTAAGGAGGCATTTACTCAGATGATGGTCGCAAATACACGACTTATCCAGGATTTAGACACAGGCCAGTGCTAGAGGAGCAACACGAATGGATAATATATGATGTTGTTCAGGACATGCGACAACCAATATTTTTAAGAGAAAGAGTCCTTCCTTCATGAGAGAAGGGTCACATTGGTCAATTTTGCTTTCAAGAGGAAAGCAGGGAGGCGGTGGCAGGAACAGTTAGAGAAGTTTGGAAGACGACTCAAAACCACATTCAGTGAGAGGATTCGTGAGGACTTTCGGTGATAGATTTGTTCATCTCAAAGCCAGGAAGTAGAAGCAAGTCTGATTTATCAAGTCGTTGCAAGGCAGTTGCTTTATCACGCAGTACGAGGCTCAAGTTAAAATGTTATCTTGATATGCATTTTAGTTAATCTGTAATGTCGAGGAAAAGTACCATAACTTTCTATATGGATTGAAGGATGTGATCATACCACATTTAATCCCCCTGAGCATTTAAGATTACTCGGTTCTGCTAGAGAGGGCGATGATGATAGAGATTGATTTGTGGGCTACGCAAAAGTATAGAGATTTTCAGAAGATGAAATGAGAGGTCCAGATCTCAACAGGCCACTCAATCTGTCAGGTTTGGGTAGTCCAGTTTGAAAACATTTCGACCTAGGCGGTGGTAGTAACACTCGCAGTGGTAGCAGTATAAACACTTGAGCCACATGTGAAAGGGCACATAGAGAAGAATGTTAGAAGGGCAGCAACACCTATTTTTGGGGCCATCGGTCAAGACATACGATGAGATATTGTCCTACTCTGGGACAGAACTCCTACAAATATCAAAGCTAGTACTCCATTTTTTTAGAGGATTTTTGGCAAACAAAGACCAGTTGTCATCAGGATCAGCTTCAACTCCAAGTCAAACCCGCCAGAGTGTGCAGACACTGAAAAACGCACGTTGATAAGTTTATGCAAGTTTTTTTTCTGTCAATTGTAAATACTAACCAGTTGTCATTAGGATCAGCTTCAACTCCAAGTCAAACCCACCAGAGTGTGCAGACACTGAAAAACGCACGTTGACAAGTTTTTATGCAAGTTTTTTTTCTGTCAATTGTAAATACTTAAAAATCTGTAAAAACTAGATGTACCTTTAAATTTTATAAATTTAAGGGTTATTTGGTGTTTTGGATTTCATAGTAATTATGAAATAAAACTTTTAAATAGTTTCCTCCGTCCAATCGACATTTCTCACCTTGATAATTTTGAGCACCCAAGAAGGGTCGTGACGAGAAAATTAATTTCATTAATATAAAATTAATTACTTAAAAAAAAATTTTACCTTAAATTGTAACTCGTCTATCTCCTTAATGTAGAGGCTTCTGCTTTCGAAAATGAGCTTTAAGCTCTCAGTCGAGTCCCTCAGGTGAGAAATTGTCGCACTCAACTTCCCTCTCCTTCATGTACGCCTTCGCCTTGTTCCCAAATCCCTTATATGCTCGATCTTCCTCAAATGTGCTCACACTAGTTCTAGCCAGTCGAAGATACGCTCGGGGCCGTGCATCTCTGCACACTAAAGAGATCTAGTGTGTCGTTCCTTCTCCCTAAGCTCTTGGTCGAGCTTCTCAAATGTTGAAATTTGTGTAAATCGGGGAAAGTCGCTCGGCTCTCCTTCTTCCTCTGTTTGAAGATGATAACTCTTTTCTTTAACAGCAATAGACAGAGCCACTTAAGACTTAAGATGCTCGATCTAACGTCTCTTGATCGCGATAAAATCATGTATAGCTACGGGAGAGATGAGTGATAACTCTTTTCTTTGGCTTCAACACCTTCTCCTTTCTCCTTCTTCCTTTCTGCTTCTTTGTTTCTTCTTGTACTTATGGAAAACATCTTTCCCTTCTTTTGCTGTCTCTCACTCTCTCTCTAGCTTTCACTCCGTCTTGCCTGCTTCGACACCTTGCCTCAACTTCGTGCTCTCACTCTCTCTCTAGCTTTCACTTCGTCTTGCCTGCTTCGACACCTTGCCTCAACTTCGTAAACTCCCTCAAAATTCCTCTCCTTCTCCCATTGTCTCTCGTTCTCTATATCTCTCATGTGTGATAGGTTTGAATGAGATGAAAACGAGAGATAAGCCCTCACATACACTTGCAGCCCATGTGTCATAAATAGGTAAAGTATATTATTATTATTATTATTATTATTATTATTATTATTATTATTATTATTAAAAGGGTATTATTACATATATAAACGATACTCAATCTTCTTATCATAGTGTTCATTAATTCTTTTGTCTTCTTGTTCAAAGCTCTTAAATTCCAGGTGGCAAATCTAAGCTTAGATTTAAACCTAGTCAACCCCTTCCTTTAACTTTCATTAAAATCGGGTTAACCGGTGCCACATCCACTACACTTAAGGATGACATTATACACTGTTTGTGTTTATTTTTCATTACAATTAGGTTGTGACGAGCAACTTAATGTGAAGTCCTAGCCCACTTGCCAACCTTCTACCAAAATCAAGTTAAAACATAGCATGCAACCTATTTTTTAGCAAAATCAAGTTAGTTCATGGTATGTTGCTTAGAAGTTTCAAACATAGTAAACTAAAATTGTCAATAAACTACTTAATGGTGAATTACTCATCACTTTTAGTAATGCCTAGAGATGCTTTTCTTTTGAAAACATTAGATATTAAATTTAAATTTATATGTGGCAAATGACCAAAAAAACTATAGTGCACACACACCTACTCCTTCACAAATAAGAACTAATGCTTGCTAAGTGGTTTTGTCCATTTTTATAAGTCTGATAATAGGGTTGCAAAAGCCAATACACTTGATAAACAATTTCAACTCGGCTCAATTAACATTTGATTATGTTTATTCATATTAGTAAATAAATAAGTTTAAACACTTTTTTAAAACTCGAATGTTAAATGAATCAAATTTGAATATAATCTAACTCATTTATAAATGTTCACAATGAACTTATTTATTATTTAAAAAGTAACTTGTTGAATGTTCTATAAATATGTAATATATTATTTAAATAAATTGAATAACTAGAACTTCTTTACTCATAAATTAAATAGTAACATATTATAATTATTTAATATCATTATGCATAAATTTAATGCAATTTATTCTTAATTTTAGTTCAATGAACTAGTTTGTTAATACTTATTTATAATATTTGATGTGGCTTATATTCGATTCACTAAAGATATGCCTATTAAAGTTGTTACTTGTGTTCGAAATAGTAGGATTATCCAAGTATTTTCCAACTTCAACTGGATTACATCAAGAATCGGCTTTAAGCCCATATCTTTTTGCTTTCATTTTGGATGCGCTTACTAGACATTTACAGGAGGATGTAACTTGGTGTATGCTTTTCGCTAATGATATCCTTCTTGTGGATAAAACTAGAAAAAGAATTTGGAAGAAACTTGAATTATGGAGGTCTACATTAGAGCTTAAAATCCATTATTTTAGTAGATCTAAAAATGAATATATGGAATGTA